CGAGGCCTCGATGAATGAGGCAGCGAATTTACGCCTCTTGAGTGCAATTCCCCCTCTCGGCATATCAATGACACCTGATCATACGGGCATCAGTCCTCAACTGGCGTTCAGCGAGAAATGACGGTATTCGCTACTCCTGCGCATGCGCGCGCATGCGCAGTAACTAAAACCTCAAAACCCAGTCGGTGGCAGCGTTCGCAACTAGCTCATGGAGGCATCGTGCCTATAATCTGTAGGGACGTGAGCTACCTCTCACTGCCCTACCTCTAGTTAGGGCCCCATCCTAAACTCGTTTTTTCCGTGTACATTTTATGGAGTCCTCAGTCTATAACACAATAATTTCAACTTTGCGCCAACGTAAGGAAAATTAGGCATCAAATGTCTTCAATTTGCCTCGGACTCGAGGAAATGTTGCAATATCACATAAAAAGGCAACAACGCAACAATCTACCAAGAGATCAGCCTCTCCCGAGACAGAGGGAGCGCCGGTTGTTTTCCCGCAGGAATCCCTCCATCCCTCCCCTTTTTTATTCTCGGGCCGCGGGATCAGATTTTTGTCAATTAGGCCGTAATACGGGTAACGTATGAGACAGCCTCACTGATTTTGATCTCTCCATTCTCGAGGGGTTGGAACCCTCCCCACGGCACCGCGCCATTCCTGCACGGAGCAATTTTCCACTCGGATAAATTCGCACTCGACGAGGCTCTCGAGTCGCAATTAGTGTGAAATTTCGCAAATTTCGGAACGCTAAGCCGGGACGCGCGTGAAGCGGGACCTGCGGTTTTTATTAGGGTCGTAAATTTCTCGAGGGCTCGTGTGGTCGGGGGTAGTTCAATGGGGGCTGTCCGCAACTTCCGCGGAGGCTCAGGTGTGCTTCTGAGTTTAAGTGGTTGAATATTTTATAGGCTTCCATGGGATTTTTGAAAAATGAGTGTCTTGATCACGCTCGCTTCGTTGCATCGGTGATAAAAGGCCGTAACTTCGTGCTGTATCCAAGTCCGAGCTCTTCAAGGATCTGGTAAATTGAGGAGACGCCCTTCCGTTAGCTGAACGAAGGGCATCAATTCTGACTCAAGTTTGGTAGACCGAAGTTATTACATTCAGAAAATAATAAATGGATTTTGCGGGAGATTGATACTGCATCCTCTTTTCTCCAATTTCAATATATTTTCCATAAACTGATACATTGGCAAAGTGACGTCTGTGATGCTGAACGAGGGGCTTCAATTCTGACTCAAGTTTGGTAGACCGAAGTTATTACATTCAGAAAATAATTAATGGATTTTGCGGGAAATTGATACTGCACCCTCTTTTCTCCAATTTCAATATATTTTCCATAAACTGATACATTGGCAAAGTGACGTCTATGTGATAAAACTGGGAAAACACATATAGGATGCGGTAAAACTCGTGTCACATTCTGTTCTATTCGACGAAGAACGACACAGTAACTAAACTAACCGTCATTTGATGTTAATACGGGAAGTAGAATAGAAAGTAACTGAAGCGTGCGGTTAATATTTGGACCACATTTTGCAATCATTGGAAACTATAATTTTTGTCTCATTCGTAAAAACACTCATGCACATAGGGAAATTAATTGTGCATACGTGGTTTCTAAACTGAGTCAGAAATTGTAGTTCCAAATTTTAACGTTCAACAAATCTTTGCGTTGAAAATTTGCAACCTCGTAGAAAATTAGGCACGAGCCGCCAGGACCAAATCTGGATCACATAAGCAGCTCCACTATTTTCGTCGGTATCTGTGCGAAAGTTGATGACTAATCAGGCAGTAAAGTCGAATAAGAGTCATTACCTTGACGGCTAAACGATAAGAAAAGTGAACGCATCAATAATCCATGCTTGAATGAGGAAAATTATGGACTGAGTTTGCCCTGATAATCCTCCAAACTTGGACAAGAACTCAAAGTTCCTACTTCTGAAAGATTCTCGTTGGCGTTTTTACAAAACGATTGCGTTCAAGCTACCACTGCAATCTTGCTTGCTATAGGCAGGTACCGAGAACGGTTTTCCTGGTCTCAATTTTTTTCTAAGTAAGGGCATCAGGCGCACAACTGAGAAATTTTACCTGACAAGCTTTTGGAAGTTTAAGAATTGACCAAGTGATTATTCCGTTCCAAAGTTGGGAATTTCTCATCTCTTCTGACAAACAACCAGATGTGAAGTATGAAGTACATGAAGTGCAATTACTGGCCACAATACGTCAGTCCCCCGACGAAGGAACGTAACTCCATTCCAAAGTTGCGAAGTTGACTCGAAAAATTTGATTTTTTACAAGAATGTAACTGTGAAATTTTAGTCCAAAATGTTCATGATTTCGACGTGGGATCAGAGGAAAAATCACTGATATTATCAGTTAGAAACGCTCATGATTCTCCTGGTAAAACTGCAATTTGCAGGGAGAAATTTGGTAACATTGCAATGTAGTTACGTTCTTTCGAGCGGGAAACAACGAATAATTGACTATAATTACTTAGAATTACGAATGTTATCGTAAAAGGTTCTCTCGATGAGCCGATCAGTGTTAGGTCCTATGGCAAGATAAAATATTTTCCAGCTAAATCAGATTTGAAAAGGGCAATTGGAAGTATTTATGCTAGAGGAACTATGTGCATAGGGTTTACGTGTAACATAGTTCCTTTTAGTATAAATGGTATAAAATTAGTTCCAATTGTTTGAAGAGCATGGGGTAGGAATATTGAAAGATGGAGGCACCTATCCCCTCGATCCGAGGAGCGAAAAGGCCCTAGCCGGTCCCCTGGCCGGTCCACGAGAGGGCATACAAATTGGAGCCTCGTAAAACAAGATGTTTGACCAGCGCTAACTTTTCGCCGCTCGTAATTACGGGCCGTTTCGCGCGGCGTTTACAGGCAATAAACGCCAAATCGAGGCGACACCGATGAGAAACGAGCGCGATCTGGCGGCGCGGGGCCGAGGCAGGTGCCCGCGGCCATCTTCGAGGGGTGGCCGCGTCGGAGATTGATGGGGCTGCGAGGCTGCGCTGGACCGCCGCATCCCCTCGCGGGACCGGCGCTGCCATCTTGCGGCGGGCGGCGCAACCCGCGCTGCCATCATATGCGCGCGCCACCCCTCGCGCCTAATCACCAAGATGGGTGATTGCCGGGCCGAGAAAATGAAGGCGCCGCGTCGCGCACCGCCCCGCTCGGACTACGTTGCCGAGTTTCGCGGAGAATTCGAAGATTCGCACTCGGCGACCTCGGAATGTTCTCAGAAAGGGAGCTTTTAGCTAATACACCGAGGATGGATAGAGGAAATAGGCAATGAACATATTTCGTCGCTCGATTTCGGCATGAGCCTCAAATGGCTGAATATTGAAATAGATGGACAAGGCAATAGACAAAGAAGACAGAGGGAGTATGGAGCGTCCTATTGGTTGAAATGAGTGGTTCCTTTAGACTAAGGGAGGAAATGATGGACTATATGGCCTGACATCGGTTGCCGTTAGTTAGTCTATTATCTATCGCCTTTGTCCATAGCGACCACCAGCTTCCACCAATAGGATCACTCCGTACCCCTTTTGTCTTCTTTGTCAATATTTTTGTAAGTCAATTTCAATAATGAGCCTGCTGGATTCTCGTGGATATTTAGGTACGCCATTACGTCAAAGAAGCGGCAATTTACGTTGGAAGGAAATGTGATAGGTGCGAAAATTTAATATCGTGAATTTTATGTTCCTTTTGATTTAATTCATTTGCACTTGAATCTTTGTAACACCATAAATATTTCCTAATGGGCGGTGATTTCGAGTACTGTGATGACGAGGGAAAGTATATGTAAGGAATTCTTACAGGAAAATTATTATGCTTCGAGTGAAAGTTCTTAATTCACGAATTGTGTAGTATTTCGAGGACATTTTCCGATACGAAATTTTTTTGCGAGTTGCAGGACAAAAAGTTTCAAATCGAAGATGCAACTCCTCAAAAACGACGGTACCAGTGCCAAAAATTAGAGAAGTATGATTAGAAAGAATACAGAATAACAATATAATAAAGCAACAAAAATTGGAAACTTAGTGCACAATATGTTGTGGTGCACGAAAAAGTAAATACTTGGAGTGAACGATTGATTGCTGATTCGAACTGTGGAATACAATTCATTTCGATACGGAAACTAAAATTCCCGCAAATCGAGGATTTGTCAAACGACGTCTATGGATATGATGGCAAAAGATATGTCGGAAACATTGGTCAAGTAGATGATGTAATCATGGAACGCTTTTGTCGGCATATCAGTATGCACCGTTGCAAACCCTATCTGTTGTATTTTACTTTTAAAACTGAAGCTCTACTTATTCAGCACAGCTTAAAATTGCACGCCAGTTCCTTCCAAGGAAATATTGCATGGTGGTATTTTTTAGAAAACTAAGAACAAGGTGCTTAAACCACCGCAATCGAGAGGCCTGTATTTTTCTGACTTTCACTGATATTTCGGGCACGTAGGGTTTCACACAAGTTTAGTTTGCTGGGCGTGCCCTGCTTTCTACTTTCTAGAGGAGCTATTCAAAAATGAAAGAACACTCTCACAATCAGTCTCGAATGCGGAACACCAGTCCAGTCTTTGACAAAGTCGTAGCGAGCTCAAATAGGGATTATTCTTATTCTACCTTTGGACTAAAATACTGCATATTCATTCAAATGCATTGAATTTCATGCTTCTCGGTGTATTTTCTAGAATTAGAAAAGGCGACGAGTCCACTCGCCTCTTTGTTTAGAATGCAATCCAAACAATAGTATCATCAATTTTTTTTTATTATTATTTTCCAGCAATTTGTAATGATATTAAATCATTTCATTGTAAAGCTACAAATTTCATTCTTTCAAACTAATGATTTGTAACAATATCAAATAATGATTCTTTGATTACATTATTAGGTTCGATATATATAAGGTTTGAAAGAACATTCTAAGATGGCGCGACTGGCATAAGAAATAATACTGAAACTCGGAATTGATACTGACCTTGTATGCTTGCCGCCAGTGTGAGATTAGGGAATATTGAGTGAACCCTGCAAAAGAAAAACAAAAATATTGATACAATTGTTCTAGTTCAACCAGAATACAGTGACAAATCGCAGGGGGCAGCTTCAATCGTTATCTTCCGCGTTCAGATGCTTCCAGCTTCAATCGGACTGCATTTTGCAATGCGAAACTACGACTTCTGGCTCATTCATAAAAACACACGTAGTAAGTAAGAAAAATTACGGCACACATGTTGTTTCGAGGATGAGTCAGACATTGTAATTTCTAATTGCGAAATGTAGTCAAATTTCGGTTTAAGGTGATTCACGGCCGAAAAATCGAAAAGGAACCAGTATCTTAGCAAAATTTGCTCGTTATCTTAATTTGTGCTTATTCCCTCAATAACACTGAGAAAAAGCTATGGTTTATAAACCTATTAGTGGTAAATATGGAACACCTATAATAGTCGTAAATAAACTAATGATTCTCGGTCTGTGAACCATACTAAGGTCTCTGTACCTAATTAAGGTACAGAGACCATAACTAAGGTATATGTGCTATTATTATATGTAGAGGTACTACTATTAGTGGTGTTCCATATTTACCTCTAATAGGTTTATAAGCCATAGTTTTTTCTCAGTGAAATTCACTTCATACTCTCTAGGATTTTGAAAACTTAAATATGAAAACCAAAAGTCATCGGTTCAGGGGTACTTCACTTAACGCAATATACGGTCTTCAAGAAAATAAGCACCCGAGGGGCGAAAAATAAGGGTGAAAACGTGACAAAAAAATATAATATTCCAACATAATGGACAAGCGGCAGGTCCCATTTTGTTCTCGTTCAATGCTACCCCTGTCAACCTTCCTAAGTGAATGGCATAGAATTCAATTTCGTAAATGCGGTCCGACAACTTTCCGAGGAACTTTATTTAATAAATGCGGATATCGTCATAAACAAGTACGCCGGACCTGACAATCGCGGGTAAATAGACATAAATTTAAATGCTGACATTAAGTTGTCACAGTCCTTTGCGTCTGGATGGACTCCGCGACGACCCCTTTGGCCCGAGGGGAGCTGAGTCACTCCGTTCATGCTGACTGAACACGCATTTATGAAATATGGACGGAAAACAAACGGGGTTGAACGTTGTTATTATAGTGTTCCAGTTGCGTGGCTTGAAGGAGATGGGAAAACCCCCTGTACCATCTCTCTTATCTCTAAGCGAGTATTGCAAATTCCGAATTTCGCTACTGTGCATGTTGACGGATCCAGCATATTGGCAAAATAATCTTTTCTCCATTTAAACCTATGGAAATGTATCGATTCTTGTATCGGCCAGGTGCTCCAACAAGAATCGATTACATAACATAGGTTTAAATGGAGAAAAGACAATGTTGCCAATTCGCTAGATCCGCCTCTGGCTGTGCAAGGATGCAAAAAAATAAATCAATGTTACTTAGTTTCATTCTGTTTGTTAAATGCAATTTTCGCGAATACAAAGCAACGTCTGATGTGGCTCTGCAAAGGACGGTAAAATATGTCTAATTACACCCGAACTACAAACTCTAGACATTAAAATACCACCATCTTAGCATAACACGAAGGCTAGTGTTTCGGGATAAAGTTAATTTACATTCGAAGCTATTGTAACAAAGATAAGTTTTAATGCTTTCCCTTCAAGAGGGCTTTCGATTTGGTGTATGTATGAAAGTTCCTCCCGATAGGTAGAAAGTTCCTCCCGATAGGTAGAAAGTTTCTCCCAATAGGAAGGTAAAAAGTTTCTCACGATAGGTGGAAAGTTTCAACCCACAGGCAGATAATTATTACGGATGGGTAAACAGTTTCAAGGGCAATCTGCTCCCGGCGAATACATTTAATGACTCCTAACGGCTCTTTTACCCGATGCAAGGCACCCTGGTTCCGATGTCTTGTATTAGCGTTAGAGCACGTCCAACTTCTTGCCGGAATCCGTCAAGCTCCATGAGGAAAGCTGAAAACCGTTTCTCGAGAATAATTTCTGCCCATAGGGAGAAAGTTTCTACTCTTGAGTAGAAACTTTCTCTCGAGGTAGAAAGTAAACTAGAAATAAAAACATTATGGAAAAGCTCAACGAATAGGAAGAAACATGGCAAGGCCTCAGTCGATATCGCCACTTTCATACCCGAAAATCGACGCATAAATCACCGCCAACTCTCAGGACGTGAGTATTCAAAATTTAAACCTCTCAGCGAACCCCTCACAACTACCCCTCATCGATTCCTTTCGGGGGAAAGCGTAAAGCCTTAAGACAAACTAGTTTTCGTATCTGGGACGTGTTTTCGACACTCGATGAACACGCGCGCGGGAGGATGAAAATAAACCGCGCTACCCTCGGAAACGCGCGCGGGGTTAGTGGCCGGGAGGGGGGGCTTTTTGGTAGCGAGACGCCTGTCGTGCGGAACAGCAGTTTCCTCACCATAAATGTTCGGGCGCTAAAAGGAACATGACTTACAAACCGGGGCCCCTAAATCACGTCGAATGTAACTTCCATCAGAGCACGCGCCGGGCTGCGCTGCCGCAGCATGAACCGATGAGAGAAATTACACAATTTATTCGGCGTTCAGCGAGCTGATTATTGAAATTGGTAGACAAAGAAGTCATAGTGAGTACGGAGCTATCCATTTGGTTGAAACGGTGGTTCTTATAGACTGAGGTAGGAAACTTAGTATGATTCAAATTAAAGAACAACACAAGAGGCTGATTAAAAAACGGGGAAATTTATACCTGTTAACGGGATAGCAGCGTTCTAAAGAGTCCACGATGCAGTTTGTTCCGATTCACTGCGGCAAAACGCAGTACTGCATACACCTGTAACAACGAATTTCCTTGAATGAGAGAAAGACACTGAAATGTTTCATTACATTACTTAGTCGTGTTTTTCTTACAATGGGTTAACTACATTGGAAAAAAAAATCTTAAATTTGCCGCCAAGAAGTATATCTTCTTAAATCAAGAAAAAGTCAGCTTAAAACAAGATAAAGAAAATTCTCGGCGGCAAATTCAAGAATTATCATGCTTGATCCAAGCTACTTTTTTTTTTTCAGTGTACGTTGGTCACAGAATCGTGTTTTAATGCTTGATTCTTGTATAGATTATCTGAATTTTCAGAAGAAACAGCAACTATCTGCGTTCAGTATTAACTGGGATATCGCGCTTTGAATAATTCGGTTTATGAAATTATCCGCCGCGGTAGTGACATCCTATCCTTGGTATCTTCCATGTTGCTTTCATCCGAGTTTCACGCTGAGTAACCACACTGAGAAAAAACTATGGTTTATAAACCTATTAGAGGTAAATATGGAACACCTATAATAGTCGTAAATAAACTAATGATTCTCGGTCTGTGAACCATACTAAGGTCTCTGTACCTAATTAAGGTACACGTACCATAACTAAGGTATATGTGCTATTATTATATGTATAGGTACTACTATTAGTGGTGTTCCATATTTACCTCTAATAGGTTTATAAGCCATAGTTTTTTCTCAGTGCAGTGATAATGTGTGTGTCTCTGACAAATGAAAGCTAGGTGGAGGGAACCAAAGCTATCACTATCGCAGTGCTTGACGTCAAAAACCGAAGTTTTAAAAGCGCGATATCTCACTTAACAGCGGACGTAGAAAGTTGCTCTGCGGACAAGTCTTATTATTTCTAACTGATCTACAACAATCAAGCATCAAAACATCATTCTGTGACTGGCGCAATACTGGCGCATACTACTCAATTTCGAGTCCCCGTGTGGACATGCGAGAGGTCAATTGAACTAAATAGGTACTGCACTGAGAAAAAGCTATGGTTTATAAACCTATTAGAGGTAAATATGGAACACCTATAATAGTCGTAAATAAACTAATGATTCTCGGTCTGTGAACCATACTAAGGTCTCTGTACCTAATTAAGGTACAGAGACCATAACTAAGGTATATGTGCTATTATTATATGTAGAGGTACTACTATTAGTGGTGTTCCATATTTACCTCTAATAGGTTTATAAGCCATAGTTTTTTCTCAGTGTGCAATAAGGAGGTATACAGATTCTGGCCCAGTTCAAAAACAACATATGTACGATTAGTTTCCCTATGCTCATAAGTAATTTTTCTGACGAGCCAGAAATTTTAGTTCCAAATTGCAAAATGTAGTCCAATGGGTGTATTGATTTTTCAAAATATTTCTAATTTAAAACGTGAGAAAAAGAGTAACAATCAATAAATACATGAACAAAATTCTAAAAAAATCCTCTGACGTAACGTTATGCTATATTGCGGTATTTTTGTGTTTCTTTGTATTTTGTTTTTTTTTTTCCAACTGAACGGTTCAAAATGTTGTGCCCGTGCAACCGACTTAGTAATGAATCTCCGGGATTATAATTCCAGCCCCAGGCGCGTAGGCCAGAATCCCTCGCGAACAAAAGCGCGCGAGATGGCAAAATCCAATTTTGCTCGAATTCAAATTGAAAACGCGGAGCGAGGGACCTACACGCATAGGGCCCAACAACGCTGCCAAAATGCCGCGAGTACACACAAAAACTAAATTGTGAACTTTCGAAAATCGAGATTTAGTTGCAAATTCGGCAACGAGGGAGGTATGGGGGTGGGTATCGCTTCACCCTTGCTGCTGTTCAAGTATGCATGATTCACTTTTATAACGTTCATCTCTCTGGCGGGGCCCGTGCCCGGAAGGGGATGCCGGATGGTCGAGAAAGGAATTCAATCGAGTTCAGTTCAAGGGATGGAAAATAAATGTGCACTTATGACAAATCCGACAGGTTCGTCGTCCGTCCAAAAATGGCGTCATCTACGACAGCGAAACGCATATTTTTGAGTTACAGCAAGCGTGCTGGTGCGGGGGACAAGAATAAAACAACGCTGCAAAATTTTCCCGGTGGAGAACACCTTTACTCTAATAAAAAGTATAAAAAAAAGAATAAAAAAGGGCCTAATAGGATGATTTTCCTATTCATAATTTAATAACACAAGTTTCATTGATGCAAAGGTGAGAAAATCAATGCCAAAGTAAGAAAAAAAAATAGAGGAATGATAATCTGATTCTTTTTAAAAGTTTTCAGAATTAAAAAAAAAATTCGTTGGTAATTCATAGTGGGTTCGCAAAAGTGCGTGCATTACCGCTGCCTTTTATGGTAAGTAGAAGCGTGGTAAAGGGAAAGGAGGTATCCGTTTCAATATTTATTCGAAGGTTGTCTTTGTCTTGGAGAATTTACAAAAAAAAATTGTATTGCTTCATCTGAGAGAACTTAAAGACCCGACTTCGAAGTACTTTTCATAACTTTTTTCTGAGATTGAAAATTACAGGAAAACAGATTTGAGAGTGAGAAAATGTACGCTTTCATGACGTCATCTGGTGGCATTTTCTATTTAAAAATATATATCTTAGCAGATTCAGTTTCTTGTCATGTCTCCTCGAATAATTGTTCAATTTAGAGACCAAGGATATTCCCGTGCTCAGTTTTCTTAGTAAATACATACTGTACATGAAATTCACCAAATTTCAGACACCTGCAAAGTCTCCATCAGACGAACCTTCTAGAGGGATAAAAGTCAAATATTATTCCCTGTGCGTTCCTCGATATAATAATTTTGAATGATAATTAATTGCTCGGCAACGTTGCTGCTAGGTGCAAAAGGGACTGGCGTGGAGGGCGCGTGATATCATAAATTCAATTCTATCTGACGCGAGCATCGGCGCATCCTATGAATACATTTTCTGCAGCAGATTGCCCATTTTTCGTGAAAAATATTCATTTTTATTAGCTTCGATGGGAGAGCAAGAGAATTCCCTCTCGTTAGCAGCAACTGTGTATCAGTGCTTCCGTAACCCCTCCTGTCTGGACTTCTCTCTGATACGTTGCAGTTCATTAGTCACGTGCTCAAAAAATAAATGAATGTCCGATCGGTGAAAGGGTAGAAGAGAAAGGATTCAATGATAGGAAGGGAGAGGGATGGGGGTCCAGAAATCTTTAAAAAAAAAAGAGAAAAAAAAACACAGACAACGGGATTAGAAAGCGACGACCGCGACGGAGCGGTGAACGCGTATAAATCTGCATATGGGTGGAAACGAAGTTGTAACGGAAGATTTTTGTCAGTGGGATATTTCTGAGGTGAATGACTTTTCAAGAGCATACGTGTATTTATCAGAATAATAATTGTCAGTTTCCATGTATATAAATGGATCACATATAGCAAAAAGGAAACAGCGTGATTACTGTGTTGTAAAAATGTTGCTTCTTCATACTAAAAAATCTCTCAAAATAGCAAATTGTTTTTTCTTACGAACAGAAAATTGTTAATTTCAAAGAGAAATAGTTGTGTAATTTTGAATACATAAAGTACTTTTTAGAGAAAAAAGAAGATACACGATTTTGAAAACACTGTAATCGCGCTGGCACCTTCTTGCTAAATGCGATCCAAATCATGCAGACTTGGGTACTACAGAAAAAAGAAGAATGTTCAGCGCGTGAGTTTTAAATATCAGCGGATTGAAACTTAATCCACTTTGATCCGCAATCAAAACGCAGTATTTAATTTATACGCGGTAAGCCGCACATCCGTTGTTTTTAGACATTTGAGGTAGTATTTTGAAAATGTACTCCATGACAGTGTATCACATTCTCGAGTCATTACCAGTCCTATAATTACGCTAGCGAAGCCCGATGCGCCTTCATTTAGATTGAGTAGGCAAAAAACCTATCTTCACGTTCAAATAGTTGCATGTTCGTTAAGGTAGAGTAAGATGTTCAGTTGCTTGCCTTGGGAAAGTGACCGCGAGACAACAGCAAGATTACTTCAAAGTTTCATTTCGTCGTTCCCCAGACAAAAGAACTACCAAATTTTTTTTTTTTTTTCCAGGTAGAATTTCGAAAAAAATTCAGGTTGCGTCAGGTAAAATGATTCGCTAATTTTCCCTCAAGAACCACTGGAAAAAAGGAACTCTCCCGCGATTGATGGTCAAGAAAACGGATAAGTCAAATTCCTCCTTACAGGTATCGGAAAAAATAATGAACTCCCGCGATCGCTGGACAACCAATTGGACGTATTTCTACCAAACGGAACTATGTGCTTTGAAACATGAGCCCTGAGACCCATAAGAATACATGCATAACAGGGCTCACGTTATAATACACATAGTTCCGTTTGGCAGAAACACGTCCAATTCTGGTGGAGGAGCTTGGCGCATCGGGTTGGGGCATCTCTAAATTGGACCGGAGCGGAGGCTTGGCTCGACAAAGTCATTACACGCATTAGGCCTCGGATATTTCGAGGAAAGCTGAAAATCGACCCGCCGCGCCGCGCCGCGACCGATCTAAATGGACGAGTTAGCTTTGAATACTAATAAGGCTTCAAACACAGCCATGCGCCTAGAAATCGCTTAATTAAAGGAGATGGAATACGAATGGCTTGATAAATTCCACCGGGTCCAGATATTGAAAGCCGAGATAAATGTCGAAGAGCGCTGAGTTGTAGAGCGAGCCACCATGGCGGGCTCCTCCGCCAATCTGAGTCCGCATAATTCCATCGTTACGATAATCATAACCTCCAATCCGAATTGAGCTCCGCGGCCGTCCACCATTTCACTTTCGTAATGGTACCCACTCTCCGAGAGCGTGTGATTTCATTAAATCGTAAAAAAAAGTTGGTGTTTTTTGAGGTCTCTAATAAAATCGTGATCTTGCTTCTTCCTCTCCGACGACAGGAGAGAGGACTATCTTCGGAAAGAACAAATAAACGGGGGAGAATTGAAAGACGCAGCATTAGGACATCTTAAAAATTCACGCCTTGGCAAGATTTCGGAAG